TATATATATATATATATATATATATATATATATATATATATATATATATATATATATATATACATATATATATTAAGTATACTTTATAACTATACGTCAGTTAGTCGATAGTGCAATCTGATGGCTACATTTGCAATATATTTCGCTAATTTGCAATTATTTTCTAATTTTACTGCAGTTTTAATTTAAATTCAGCCGTTTAGTGGGCCGGCTATAATTGTAGTTGTGATCGTTATAAAATATATCAACAACAATAGTATAATCTAATTAGCACCAGCCAATCAAATGATAGATTTAAAAAATCGTTTGTCTAATCGGCCAATCAGACGAAAAAGCCAGAATCTGGCTTTTTACATGCGCCGCGGTAAATAATTGTATCAGGCCCTCCTTCATTCGCCGCCGCCAGTTAATCCTGGCGAATGAAAACATAAGGGCCTGATAATCGAGTTAATTAAGATGGGCGGGACCATGCGTTCGGTGGGCGGAACTCAGAATGTGTAGTTTTTGGGCAGGCGGTATTTCGAGCTTCTACCGCCTGCTACGCAGGCTAATTTCAAATTAGGGTCTGAACTTCAGGTTAATTTCAGCCCTGCTTTCAATCTCGTTCCCAGAGTATGCCTGTTCGCTGGTTAGGTAGTGGCATGAACAGCTTATACGTCAGGTTATCATGTCGATCCAATGGTAATTTGATATCGCTGCCATCACCATAATATAGTGTAGCACAGAATGGCCTTGTATCATACTTTGCCATCATGCATGCAGAAATGCCTTGGTCATTCATGTGGAGATATGACTATCACGATAGAATTAGTTACGCCAAGTAACACGTCGTACACGTCAGGTAGCAGCTGAAATATTTTAATATTTGCCATAATAAGCCAATAACCTGTTGGCAAAACAACCAAAACATCTTCACCATTTTACATTTATATGGCCGAGATACATTTGAATGTCTCGTCTTTTAACGAATATTCAAGCCCTCTTTTCGCTAGAACAACTTTCATAGCTCTTTCAGTATTTGCCATTGAATATAATTTAATAGTAGTACGATTTAAAGCACCTTTAAACGTATAAAAACCCATTTTGTATACTATATTCTGATGAGAATCTTTGTTTAAAACTAATATCGATTGTGAGCGTGTGCCCGCGCGAATTTAGTAAGCGGAATAAACAAAAGCAATAAAAGCGCATGCGCCATTTATCTCATTTTGGATAAAAAAAATCGATTTCCCCAGAGTCATGCCACTACCTAACCCGCGAACAGGCATACTCTGGGAACGAGATTGCCCTGCTTTCGCACATTGTCCAGTCCTGGATTGAGATCAGTTTTTCTAATCTGCGCGTGCGCATTAAGTGTTTTGTGGTCAAGCGCATGCATACTTGCAACACAACAATGGCGGTTCACGGATTTCAAAATTCGAAGAAGCCTGTACTTTGGAGATGTTCTACTTCAATTTGTGCAACTATTTCGCTTTGGGGGAAGTGGATTCTAACTATAAGTAAGTTCTAATCTATCCATTCATGTAAAAAATATGTAGTTACACGAGGGGTGCTACGGAATTGAACATTTTCGACCCTCATCCAACGGCCTATCAGAGTCGAGCTCTCAACAGCTCGGAGCCTTGTATAAATTGCTTTCTCTCTGCCGATATAAGCTTCCTTATTGTTGTGTTTTACTCATTTGCTTCCAAACCGTCGAACAGAAATGATCAATCTTCTAAGACACAAGCCATTTCTTGAATTGTTGGGCACGTCTGAGCCTGATCAACAACAAGCACTACTGGAAACAGCAACCGCCGAGCAAGTACACTGCCTGTGTCTCTGTGTAGAATACGTTATGAAAGGAAAATATTTAATGCCGAAGCATGTAATGAAGAAACTCCGAACTTACAAACATGAAATGCTTAGGTTGGTAGATAGAGGAAAATGTGGAAGAAGAAAAAAACGGATACTCGTTCAACATGGTGAAGGTTTCCTTGGACTATTACTAAGTCCTATTTTGGAAAGCCTGGCTGAACTTGTATAAAAGCCCTGTGACTTCAATTTATACATCATTTCAACAATGAACATCGAGAGTAAAACATCTCCGCGACATTGGCGCATTGAAGATATACTTTTGTATCTGAACAATAATGTCAAAAAAACTACAGCAGAAAAAATGCTACATTCTATTCTTATATCAAGTGATATTTTAACTTGGAATCCTCAGGGTGAGATTGTTTATCATGGAAGAGACATTCCTGGTACTAACATCGAGAACTTTTTACAATACGCACTTTTACCATACAACTCTCACATTCCTGAACCACGAGGGCTTGACCTGTTTACAAAAGGTCTAGTAGAAGCAGGGGTTAATAAAGATTTAATTAAAAATGAGTATTTATTGTCAAAAATGGCAAAGGAGGAACATGAAATGCCACAATCTGAGAGTGATGTTGAAAGCGAATCTGGTAAAGAGAACAGGGAATCTGACAGGAGTGATAATGAAAGCCAATATGATGATGAGGATGATGATAATGAGGATGATGGTGAGCCCGAGAAACTAGCTTGTAACCATTGTGGTGAAGAGACTGGTCACATTGTATACCTAATGAAGTGCCCAAGATGTTCGTGGAAAGATTTTTACTTGGGCAAAGACGCTCAATGTATGATATGCGATGAACAGTCACCTCTACTGTTTTCACATGTCATTGGTTTCTGCGAGCTATGTTCGTATGGTACGTCTAACACCAAGACGGGTGGAGTGAAGTTCACACCAAAAATGGACAAATAAAAGACCCAGCAGATTGGACCGAACGTGACCTAGCGCGAATGACTCCGGAAGCAAGAGAGGATTATGAACGTTTTATATTGAGCGATAGACCGAAATATATTCCAATGAAGCCGGAAAAACTTGCAAAGTTATCCCCAGAAGATAGACAAGAATATGAGAACTCTTTAAAAATAACAAAAACACCTAGACGTTACGCTCTTAGAAGTAGACCTTACTAAATTTTGTAAAACATTTTGAAGAAATAAATGTATTCTAAAACTGAAATATTGTTCAAACATTTACCCGCAAAGCCCGCTCTTTCCGCCCGCGCGAAAAGATCCGTGTACAAATTATTATTAAAGGTTTATTAAGAAACACATTTTGGCACCCGAGGGTGAATTGCAATATGCTTACAGAAACATAATAAAGGATAATTATCAAATAATATAAATATAGATATATCGTATATGTACATTTGTTAAAATGCTACAAATTATTTACTATTAAAATTAGCAGTCATTGCTGGTATAAAACCAGTTTTAAAACGTTCAGTTCTGCATTTAGTTAATGTGAAGTTAGAATTGTTTCTTAAGTCCAGTTCATGCGATTCTTCACGGAGTGGGGGTAAGAGGTGGTTGAGGTGAGCATCGGGTTTTAAGATCTTTTTGAAAGTTTTAGCACATAGCTCTTGACGTCTGTCGTCAAGGCGCTTGCATTTAGCGATGTTGAGAGCATCTTCGTAATCTGTTGTCGGATAAATAATACGGAAAGCTCTTTTTGAACTTTTTCAATTTTATCCCCCAAACACTTTGGTAACATGGTGTGCCAGACAGGACAGGCATATTCTAAGATAGAGCGCACCATAGAAAAGTAGACTAATAAGAGGTCATTGGGGGGAAGACCACAACGCTGTAGAACACGAATAATGTATAAGCGTTTTGAGGCTTTTTTAACTAACGCTTCAGTGTTATCTTGCCATTTCAATTTATTGTTCGTGGTTAAGCCCAAAATTTTGAATGAAGGAACTAAGTCTAGAGGCAAACCATCAATGAGGAGTCGGGGGATGTCATTCTCGCCATGGACGAAACTCACTATCATTTCTTTGCATTTCTTTCCGTTCAATTTCATGTTGTTATTAACAGTCCATCTTTCAATTGTGTTAAGATCAGATTGTAGGACTGAAACTTCATTTTTCTTTAAGGACTCCGATATTGTTACGTCATCCACGTATTTCCAATGGTCAGTGCTAGAGGATGCCAGTTCAAGATCATTGATCATAATTATGAATAAAATAGGGCCCAACTTAGTTCCTTGAGGGACACCTGCGTTATTGATGCCCCAATCAGATTGGAAATTGTCGATCTTTACCGATTGACGGCGATTTGAGAGAAAGCTGCATATCCATGGAATAAGCGACAATCTGACGCCAAGGGCCAGCAACTTTGGGACCAGGATATTATGGTCGATGCGATCGAAGGCTTTACTAAAATCGAGGAAAACGATCCGCAGATAGCTCGATTTATCATCCAATGTTCTTAGCCAATTGTTGATCATATCGATCAAGCAAAACGTTGTAGAGGTTCCTTTAAGGCAACCAAATTGTTGCGGGTTGATTTTATGTTTCACGTCATCCACCATCCAATTGACCACAAAGTCCTCAAGAATTTTGGACAAAGAGGCTGTAAGGGAGATTGGGCGCAACTCCTCCTCACAGGATACGGATGGCGCTTTAGGAATTGGTGTAATTAACGCATCTTTCCATATGTTAGGGAATTCACCAGTGGACAGAGATGTATTAAAGATGTGACATACAGGTTCGGCCAATTCGTACGCGAAATCCTTAATAATCCGGTTAGGAATATTGTCAGGACCGCTGGATTTGAAAACTTTTGTATTGAGCATCTTAGTGCAAACTTCGTCAGGGAAAATTTTTGGTACAGGCCTAGGTGCAGGGAGAAAGGCAGGTAGCAGGAGAGGATTCAGTGGTGGTAGGTCATTACTCACGCTTAAGAAATAGGTGTTAAGTGATTGGGCGAGATCTTTACCAGATAGAGTGGTACCATTCTTAACGATCTTAATGTTATTGGTTGCAGATCTTTTTTTCCCGGACATCTGGTTAACACAGTCCCACCATTTTCTGGAGTCACTGGATTTTAGGTGTTGTACCTTGTTCGTATAATATGCACGCTTTTTCACTCCTATGTCGTTTCGGACTTTAAGTCTATAGTGACGCCAGAGGTCAAGGTTACCAGAATGAAAGGCTTTTTGCCTTTGATAAATCAGTTTTTTTAATGCAGGCGTCATCCATGGTTTGTCAGAGTTATGAATTCTAATAACCTTAGACGGGAATAACCTATCAACAGCAGAATTTAACTCGTTGGTAAAGGAGGACGCTAGAGCGGTCGCAGAGTTTTTGCTTTCGGCATCAGAGAACCACTCACGTGAGCAGCACCATCTTCCAAAAGCTGCACGTGCCGACATGGGGAAGGAACGTATGTTTTTCTTAATTGTTTTATTATCTGTTCTTAAAACGTTAGTTTTCGCGGACCATTTAACAATGTTGTGATCTGATGAGCCGAGCGGTGCTATAATCACAGGCTTAGAATACAAGGCTTCTAGATTAGTAACAATTAGATCCAAGATGTTACCTTCACGCGTTGGGGTGTCCACTATTTGCGTAAGATTGTGATGGCACAGGAGATCGCTGATATCTAAATTGTTGAAATCACCGAGTAAGACAACACCGCAGTCGGGGTGGGTACATCTAACTCGGTCAATCTGATCGATAAGATAGGCCGTTAATTCCTTTTGCTCATTGACTGGTGTATCAGGCGGGTTATATAGGACACAGCAGATTAATCCAGTTAGGTGTCTTGGGAGGCGGTGGGGTCGTAGCCATAACCATAAGCATTCATGAGAGGGGTTTTCAAGGTCCATTCTTCTTTTAGCTGGGATATTTGTCGAGATGAAAGCGCAGACACCCCCACCACGGCTGTAAGATCTATCATTGCGAAAAATGTTGTAATTATTTATGTAAATTAGTTGCTCAGGAACAGTATCTTTGAGCCACGTTTCAGTTACAGCAATAAACTCTATAGAATGTATTGATAGTAAGAGGGATAGCTCGTCTATTTTGGGTAACAGTGAGCGAGCATTTATAAGAAGAAAACTCGGTAATCTTGATATGTTGTTTCGGTTCATGGCCTGGTCATGTATTGAAGTACTGACTAATTTCAGTTGTCTATGATTATTAATGTGGTTAACGACGGTTTTTGCACGGTTGTTAGTAATTCTCACAGGGATCTTGTGAGTATTAGCGCTAACGACAGGGATTACACCAGTGTTTCTGCATACCGTGCCCTGCAATAGGGGGGAACTTGGAAGGTGTAGGGAGGGCATAAAGGGGTTTCCATTAGCGGTTTCGGGGGAGATTGAAAAAAACCCGGTCCATTGGGGTGCCATTGAACGCTTTGATTGTAACCGGACCAGTGTTTTCTTTGTTGTGGGACTATAGGCTGTCGATTGTCGTAAAAAGGCGGAGGAGTAGGATAGTTTTTGATAGGCCTTATTGGCTGTATGCTATGAGGAAAAGTGGCGCAATGAGAAAAATCGCACCTAGTGCCCTTAAGGCAGAAGCGTCGCTTTTGTAGGAAAGGACAGGGCACCAAATGTTTCTGTTCTTCATGCGCATGTTTGAAGTCACATCGGTTTCCTTTTGCGCACTACCCTCGGCGCCTAAGGAATGGGCAGGGGGTGTTGTGCTTTGCACGAGGGTGTCGATTATTGCCCAAGTTATTCTCGTTGTTAGGTTGTGGATTGTATATTATGTTAATCCCTTTTTTCGATTTGGTAGTTAGGTCTATTGTCACGCGCTGATTGTCATGAGAAACTGGAACTTGTGTACTATTGAGCAATGAGCGGTTTTCATTAGTTGAAATTTCATTAAAACTTGGGTTGTTAATACTCAGATTAGTGGGTTGGTCATTATCTTGGGATTCACATTGGTCATTAACTACATTAGTCATTATGTTAATCCGTTCATTCCGCTAGGTAGCTAGATCTATTGTCAAGCGCTGCTTTCGTGGGGATCCGGAACTTGTGTACCATTAAGCAGAGAGGAATTTTCCTTGGTTGAAGTTTCAATAAACCTCGAATTGTTGGCATTCAAATGAGTCGGTTGGTCTTTGTCGTGGAATCCACATTGGTCATTAACCTGGGTTGTACTGGCAGACTCATTAGCACGTTCATTATTCACATGGCCATGGCAGATTACTTTATAAGTTAAATTTCAAAAGAGGATAATTTAGATTTTAAAATTAAATTATCTTCTGAGAGCATGAGAATTGCGTCATCCTGATGTCGGATGACACCTTCTAGATCTTTGACTTTAAATTTAAGCGAGCAAATGTCTGACTTATTCTCCTTTATGGTATTGAGTAGCCGGGTTTCAAAAATTACCATCTCGAGTTTTATACCCTCTATAACTACAGAGCAAGTATTGTTATGACTAGATACCTCGTTTTCAATGATGCGTGACGAACCTCGATCAGTATTCGCTTCCATGTTAAGATCTTTGTTGATAGTCTTCTCCACGTCGTCTGGCTTTGAGAGGATATCTTTTATTCGCTTTACCAAATTTCCCGCTTTGACTCCGTCAAAAATTATTGCTCCACTCTTCGAGTGCCACGTAATCTCAAGGTCTTCGCAGGTGAAACACCACTTGCCGCCGCTTGGTGACGCCAGACGGCGCTTTCTGCGGCTTTTTCATCGATTATTGTTGACACAAATGTTTTTAAGTCATTCAGGGTTCCACTCCATGTTAATTTGTTTTTCTTTTGGCCGAAGAAACCCATCAAACTCGCTGTCGATAAATTCAGAAAGATATCGGTTTTATCAGAGAGCTCATCACAGAGCTCCTTACAGCACGCCATAATCATCGTGGACCAGAGCTCCTTACAGCACGCCATAATCATCGTGGAGATTGTATCAATGCTCGAATTACTCCCGATTGGTCAGCTGCTGTTGATGTATATGGCCTTCAAGGTTGTCTTTTGTTGTACATTATTGGAATGTTCATCCTCACTGCTTATCGAATTCGCCAAATACTCAAGGCAAGCAGGAACATTGCACAGATATCGAATATTGTTAAACGTCGTAAATTTGTAATATTGCTCAAGCTGTCAACTACTACAGCCTTAATTAGTTATTGGTTTCCTCCCTTCATATCTAGAATCATGGATTTTGATTTCGAGATAAAGATAGCGTTGTATACTGTAACGTTGCTTACTGGTGCCTACATTGGTATTGCGTTTGTATTCACACAAAGAAATTATCAATTGCTCAAGAAAAAATATTTCCCAGCAAACAATAAGCCGCCAGTTAACGAAATTCCGTTGAATAGACTATAGTGGAAGTAAGTCGGCTGTATAAGTGTAATAAATAAGCAAGCAAGTTAAGCAGGCAAGCAAGTTTTAATATATAAAGAAAACAAGTTATTGTGTGTATAGAGAGTATTATAATGTAGTCATTCACCGTATATGAGTTTTTCTGCAATCTGATTGGTTGAATTACTCGCCGTATATCAGCTCATATACGGCGAGTAGCGAAAAACAAGATGGCGAACCAAAAAATATATGAGTTTTGCGAAGCAGGAAAAAGGAAAATATTCGCTTTGAGAAAGATAATAGTACAAGGAAAAACTCTCAAAAAAATTTGACAGGTTAGCAAAATACATTTATTACATAGAAATTAGTTTAAATACAAGTTTTTTTAAAGAATTAATACTGAAACAACAGCGAAAAAAAATGTTCATTGGACATTGAGAATATAAATTGTTCAGAAAAGTTTGCAACGAAAGACAAATGAATTTGCAGTCAACAAGCACTTACTATACTACCAAACATCTGTATAATATAATATGTCTGAGCTTTTCTGTGAGATATACCGGTTCTAAAACCATTTCTTTCACTTCGTCTTCGAGTTGTAAAACAAAAGTATTTCAAATTTTCAAGGCCACGCGGTTTTTGGCTGAACAAATTGTCAAGACATTGTAACAGAGGATAATTAATTATTGTTTCAGTTAATGCCTATTAGACTATATTATAAAACAATTATACCATTCGCTCTCGTCGTATATGGCTGATAAACTTAAACAGTAATCATGACCAGTGATTGATTTGAAAACGCTTAAAATATATAATGCTATTAATTTAAAAAGTATGTTATATATTTGAGCCCCGTCAGCCTCAATGGACCTTGCCGAAAATCTCAGCAAATTTCCGCAATAAGATGGTCGTCTTCAGAATGTTTTTTAGCGCCAATAAGTTCAGCTCCGGTCGGAATTTTACACCATTCAAAACTTTCGCCAAAAGTCACCATATTGGAAATTCAGAATCTTATACATAGCAGATACTTTATGTAACTTTGACTGAAGAGTTTCTCTATTCAACTGTGGCAATATTGCGCATGTGCAAGAATTTCTGGATTTTGTAATTGAAGAAATGAACACCGCAGAAAAACGTCTGCGCATGCGTCAACATTACTGAAATCTGTATTGCGAACGTGATGTCAACTTGTCTAGTGTTCCGAATGTTGTCAAAAACTCAAAATGGAAGCGACTTCGATGTTTTGCCTTTTCTATGATGAAAATGCCAGCGGAATAATGAACGTGACAACCTAAAAACTAGAAATAATTATAGTCTACATATGCAAGAAGTAGTATTATGTAAGAAAATAAACCAAAGGTGACTGTCGATAAATTTATTGTATAAAACGTTCTTTAATTGAACCATACAAACATATTTTTCGTGGGTTCATATGATGCACATTTTTGTCAATAACTTTTTTTGCGTAGCGTGTATAAATTTTGCGTTGACTATATTTAAGGATAATGATTTACTCTACAATTTAATCGTGTGCAAATGCTTAACTTTTCAATAGTTTTCTTAACTTTTCTGCTTTAAGTTCGGTATTCGACAATTTTTCAAGAAAAGTTCACACGCCTCCTGGTCTTAAACGGTAATTTTTAAACTTAACGGTAAATTGTTTTTCTGTTTCTTTTTAGATTTTAAATGTTAGAAAACGTTTTATTAATGTCTAAACTACCCGACTAGTGTATTTTTTGTTTGTTTCAGTTAACTTAAATAATTAAATAGTCATGTTTTTGTTCACAATTTGGCATTTAAATTCCTCGCCATTTTTTGTGCCCCACGCATGCGCAGACGTTTTTCCGCGGTGTTGAAGAAATGAAATTTCGGGCGGAATTTTTATACGTTTATTTTAGACCTAACCAGCAGCAATAATTTAATGCGCAAGAACCTTTCTTCAGCCAATTTCGTTCCCAAAGTATGCCCGTTGGCAGGTTAGGGACCAGCACCTAACCTGCGAACGGCCATACTCTGGGAACGAGTCTCTTCAGCCCAAGCAGTGAGCCCACCTCGCAAGCCAGGGTCTTTACTTCCGTACGGAGCTGCCCAAGGGCAGGTAAAAAACCCTGGCTTGCAAGGTTGGCAGTGAGCCCACTCACAGGGAGCCCATCCCGGGTCTTATTTAAGTTATGTAATTAGAATTACGTATAAATATATAGCTCAGTGTTTATATATTTCATACGTAATTCTAATGCATAACTTCAATAAGACCCGGGATGGGCTCCCTGTGGCCCACTGAGCTATATTCGGGTAGGCTTACCAACCTCCGTCGAAGGGACTTTCCACCCTGGATTCGAGGATGGGCTTATACTCCGAGGTTTGCCGCATTCGTGAAAGAAATGGTTTATGTTCACAATTTTCGTACAACTACTTTTTAGATAACATCGCTTCATGTCAGAAATTCCGTTGCAAGTTGCAACAAAATTGCCTCGTATACCATGGCCTTCAGTCTGCCCACAGTTTATCCTATTTTATTAACTGTGGTCTGCCAAAATCATTCGTGCGAGCGGAAATTTTAACCCATACCCCCCCCCCCAAAAAAAAACTGACGTTGAAGATTGCTGTTTAGCTAGAACTGACGTTCCATACAAACGAATTAGTTTTTTGAAAGTCCTTGTCCTATAGGGAGGTTAATTTTATTGCCCACACTAAATGAAACAGATTTTCAGTTTTATTTCGGTTGCCTGAGTACATTAAAAGATTTAAATGCTCCGTAAGTGAACATGAAAACAAAGCTTGTGGGTCATATCATGGATAATAAAATAAATAAATTTTACAATCCATGGTCATATCATGCACAGTATATGACTGTAAATTTGCCAAATTTTGTGTCAACGGTTTTTGAACTTTTATAAGAAGCAGTATTCCCCCATTGCTATTTTAAAAATGTTCGTGATATATATGACATATATCTAAACAGATGAAAAAAGCTGTCATTGAAATATGAATATTTTAGCCCAACAAACAATTGTTGAATAAGATAGATACTTAGTATAAACATAGTATCTGACTTGAATTATTTGAAAGTTTTGTTAATTAACACTTGCTTGCCGACGACACAATATCGTCAGAGCTATTGAAAGATGAGTAGAAATACCCAAACCGTCTTATATTAAAGGGACAAGATGGTTCGGCATATCAATGCCTGAAATTTCTTATGAATTGCCGATAAACCTGGGCATGACTATTCGTGTGCGCGGAAATAATAACCAATAAAAAAGCTCCAAAAATGACGTTGCGAATTGCTCTCTCCATCCAGCCATATATAGTCTTTCAAAACATGGTTTGGAAACTCCGCTAAATTCTTTGTTCTATCTTTTTGTTCGCGTTTATGCAGTTTTGTGCACGGTGCACGGTCAATGAACACATTGTTTTTCAGTATAATGAACAAATCATGCAATAGCAACGTTTCAGTTCAGTCATTCAACCATGATATTTAAATATTAATAAACCTAAAACAAAGGATGTGCACGGTGTAAGGTACGGCTCAACATAAACTCCCAGCTCATTATAGCCGCTTTGAAGTTTACTGAGTTTCCAGACCATGTCTCGAAAGACTCCAGCTTCATTTCATCTGTTGGGTGTTAATTGCAAACGCCATGCATGAGTAATTTTAAGAAAACAAAGTGCCAAGGCGGCCTTAACGCCACGCCGACAACTACGTATTGAATATTTGGAAAATACGCAATAAATGGGTAAAGGCTACAATGCATCAAAAAAGTTGCCATAAACCCATTAGCGAGTCTTGGATCCGAAATTACTACACTGCAAATAAGCAGTTCATTGTCTATTTGCAACGCCGTGGTCAATATTTTACAAGAAATGACTATGGGGTGGAAGACGGTAAACCTTTTACATGCAAAGAAAAGTTCAGAACCGAATCAACAGAGTATACCCAGGAAGATCTATTAATGTGCAACGATTCAATCATCAATATAAAATACGATCATGAATACAAAGTTCGGACTGATTTTTCAATACTCTATAAGAACAAGGTGTACAATTATACTGAGTATCGAGTTCTGAATGATGGCATAAAGATTTGTAACTCCACTGATAACTACGTACGGGACATTTGGAAAGTACGCAACAAATGGGTAAAGGCGACAATGCATCAAAAAAGTTGTAATAAACCCATTAGAAAGTCCTGGTTGCACCGAAAGTATTACACCGTGGATAAACAGTTCACTGTCCATTTGGGAGGTCGTGGTCAATATGTCAGAAGAACTGATTATGGGGTTAAATACCGTAAACCATATATATGCGAAAAAAATTTGAGATCCACATCAACAGAGTACACCCAGGAAGATCTATTAATGTGCAACGATTCAATCATCAATATAAAATACGATGATGAATACAAAGTTCGGGCTGACTTTTCAATAATCTATAAGAACAATGTGTACGATTATACTGAGTATCGAGTTCTGAATGATATAAAGATTTGTAACTCCACTGACAACTACGTATTGAATATTTGGAAAATACGCAATAAATGGGTAAAGGCGACAATGCATAAAAAAACTTGCAACAAACCCATTAGAGAGTCTTGGTTGCACCGAAAGTATTGTGTGAATAAGAAATTCACTGTCTATATCTCGCACATAGAAGTCAATATTTCACAAGAAATGAATATGGGGTAGAAAACGGTAAACCTTCTATGTGCGATGAGAAATTCAGACCCGAATCAACAGTGTATACCAAGGAAGATCTATTAATGTGCAACTATTCAATCATCAATATAAAATACGATGATGAATACAAAGTTCGGACTGACTTTTCAATAATCTACCGGGTGTCCCAAAAAAAACTACTCCGGTTTGATTTATAATAACTTCTAAACAAGTATAGCTATGAAACAGAAATAACTTGCATTAAATAGAGGAAGGACTAACTTAGATTTTGATATATTACAGTTGTATTTTACTTAAAAATTCACGGAGATATTAATGTTCAAAATCGGGAGCATATTTTGGGATGTGTCTAAAATTAGCGAAAATCAGCATATCAAATATTAACTCCAGCGTTTGTTTGCTTATTGACATATCTGCCTAACTGGTATTTCAGCGAATTGTCGTTAGGGTT